GTCTTCCGTTTAAAGGACAGAGATGGGCGGAGGGCGGGGGGGGGGCGCTCAAGGATCCGTGCAGCAGGGGGCTGGGGAGCCTGGAGGTCTTTGTTCTTCACCTCAGACCCCACACCTGAACCCTCTGAGCTCATAGCCGGAGATGAACGAGGACTCCAGCTTCCACCTCCTCCCAGAGCTGGGAAGGGGTGGGGGTGGGCTGGAGAGCGCGCTCAGGGAGGGCTGGGGGGGCTAGCCTTCTACATCAGCCCTGCACACACATCTCTCCAGCACAGGGCTGCTGGGTTGGCTGTTGTACCCCTTCACCTGTTGAAACCCCTTCTCCCCTCACACTCTATCCCGCAAGTAGGCCCAGCTACCATTTGGGGAGAGGGGGGTCCCCAAATCATGGACTTCTAGCCTGGGGGTGAGCAAGTTCATGTGTGCCTTCGTCCTGACTCCTTAGGGAGAGCCAAGCCCTGTTCCAAACCCTTGAGGTCCCCAGAGTCCCCAACACTCCATAGCCACCAACCCATCCTGTCACTGCCCAGCAAAGCCCACAGAAATGACCCACAGGTCAGCACAGGCCAGCTCCTGACACGCCCCTCTCTTCGCACAGCTGTGGGTCATGCCGGCCTTCGGGGCTCGACCTCACTTCAGCAACACAGTGGAGGTGGACTTCTACGGCTACTCCCTCTGGGCGGCCATCGTCAACATCTGCCTGCCTTTCGGCATCTTCTACCGCATGCACGCGGTCTCCAGCCTGCTGGAGGTCTACGTGCTGTCCTGAAGCCTCCCGCAGAGAATGGAGCGGGACGGGCGGCCTGTGCGCAGAGCCCCTCTGGAATGAACCCACTGGCAGTCACGGCGCCACTTCACCACCCCTTCCGCGCTGGCCCCAGAGTGGACTTTCCACCAAGTTATTTTTCCAGGACGAGTTTTTAAATCACAACAGCTTCACCCTGGGGCAGGGGGGGACCTCTCCTTCAGCATTTTCAGGACGGACAAGATCTGGCAGTGGAGCTCTGACTCCATCCCTAATCTCAGCCCTTGGCCCGGGCAGTGCTGCCAGTGCTGGAAACCAATAAACCGGAGATCTGCCCCCGCCCGCCCTTCTTGTCTCAGCCGCCCCCCATGAGAGGACCTCAGAGGGCAGAGCTGGAAGGGCCCCCGGACATTTGCAGATCCCCAGATGCTCTATGGGTGGGCCAAGTCTGCATTGCAGACTAGCTAGAAACCAGCCGGAAGGGGCTGGTGGAGGTCGGGTCTCTTCTGTTTCCCCCAGGTGACACACACACACCTGTGTGCCCCATGACGTGAGAAAGGTTAAGGGCTAAGGTCCACTTTCACAAAGAAGGGAGCTAAGTTCCAGAGAGGTCATATGATTTGCCTGAAGTCACACAGCAAAGCCAAAGCCTCTCTGCTGAGAGTAAAATGTGCAAACTTTGTTTTCAGGCTGCAGCACTTTTCCCCCCTCGAATAAACTATCTCAGGATATAACGTAGGTTAAAACAAGGTGGCGGGACCAGCAGTTAGCGTAATGGCTATGTTGCTGGACTCCCATGTAGTCGACTGCAGTTCGCGTCCCAGACCCGGTGGCTTAAACTCATGCCAGGCGCGTGTGCGTACGTGCCCAAGATCCCAAGAGGAGAATGTTTTTTTCCCAAGAGGAGAATGGAGGAGAAGGGATTGCGGCGTGGCCATCCCCCCTGGGGGGTGATTTCTCGCTTTCTATCTCTCTGTCTCTCTCTGTCTGTCTGGCGAGCGCACGCGCCCTA